ATGTGGTGTTGGAGAAAGATGGAGAAGATCAGTTGGACCGATTATAATCTAAATAACACTTCTTCATTTCTCACATAATTATGTGAGAAATGAAGAAGTGTTATTTAGAGTCAGTGAGCAGATGAATATCCTACACGAAATAAGAAAACAGAAGGCTAATTGGATCGGTCATATCTTGCACGGTAACTGTCTTCTAAAAGAAGTTATTGAAAGAAAGATAGAGGGGCGGATAGAAGTGACCAGAAGACGAGGAGGAAGAAGTAAGATGCTGGAAGACCTTTGGGGACAGAAGAGGATATTTTCATTTGAAGGAGAAAGCTGTAGATCGCATCAAGTGGAGGAACTGTTTTGGAAGAGATTGTGGACTTGTCGTCTTGATAGATTACAGATGATGAAGTATGAGTATCCACGGCAATGAGCAATAATGAACAACACAGCACATAGCTGATAAAATAAGCGTTCACACTACAGCCATAATATTTTCCTCTGTACATGACTCAACTGTGCAAATTACTTGTCAAGATTTCAAACAATTTTATTCATCTTAAACTATACTCTAAAGCAACTTAATTTATTTTTTGTAGTATTATCTTTCCTTCAGATGCAGATGCAAAGGCTCCATCACCACGACTCTCGTATCCGGAGCCTAATTTGTGAAAAGAGTGCAGAATGTGATGCACAGGTTGGCAATAAGAGAGGAAATGGAGCAACACATATCCCAACCCTTACACTCCATCCTAAAATACTTCAATCATTAGAAATTTTACTTATGGTGAAAATATATGTGCACTGCACTTCCCTACAAGTGTCATTTTTTCTCCTTCAATATGCAGTAGGCTTCCTTCTCACAAACCCACCACAGGAGGAGCACCGGGGATCTTATGATACTATTCAATTCTTTGTTCCCATGTTTCCTGAAATTATTAAATAGTTTTTTGTTGGTATACTGTACTCATCTTCATTACATGACCTGGATGACTGTCGACATTATACAAACAGTAACAAGACTGGAAAGGGTGTGTTCTGTAATCTATTACTACAAATGGCTTCCTTGAAGTTCTTTGAACAAAGATGGAGATTTTTGCAGGGAAGCAAAACAGCTGCGAAGCGCAATAAGTAGCCGATACTCACTCCCATATGTGTTGTAGGATTGTCATCCAAATAGTGAGGGTTGATGTTGAAAGGAATAAGCCCAAGATCTGTGAAGCTGGGTGGATGTACAATAGGCATAACATTTGTTGTACAAATACTGACAGTTGCCACATTAGAGCCTGCACTGCTTCCAATGTATGGTATACCTTCCTGAAAGTTAATTTAACATAAAGAGGTTATTATTATTTCAGTATTATCAATTAGGAATTGATGACTAACAAAAGACAATTCACAACTTTCATACCATAAATATTACCTCTAGCACACGCTTTCTGATTGGATCAATTATCTTAAAAAGTCATACAATGCCTTCAAGAGTTGGAATGTGTTACCACCACCCACAAAAAATGCTTCTGCTTCTTCTACAGCCTGAACAGGATCTTCTGAGGTGTGGATATTGTTTACTTTGTAACCTAGAAATATAACAGTACAACATACAGAAGTTGGTTACTTCAAATCCAAGAATATGGAAGTAAACAGAATGTAATGCTATGAGAGATCTGGGGTCCACATTAAAGTTCTTCTATTTATATTCATATTCATTCATATTTACGAGGGTCAGTCAAAAAGTTCCTGGAATGGTGGTATAGCACTCTAATGGTAGGACATACGGCAACGCTTACCTAATCACCTTCAAAGTAGGACCCTTATGCGCACACTCACTTGCTCCATCGATCCTGCCATTGTTGGAAGCAGCGGTGGAAGACTTCTTTATGTCCTCCATGGTTGCGAAAAGTGTCCCCTTGAGGCCCATTTTCAGAGTAGGGAACAGCCAAAAGTCACTCGGAGCTTGATCCGGAAAGTACAGTGGTTGAGTGATGACAGGAATGTTTTTCTCGGTGATGAATTTCTGCACAACAAGCGATGTGTGGCTCGGTGTGCTATCATGATGCAGAAACCACTGTCTCTGCCACTCGTCATGCCGCTTCCTCCGAACTACATTGTGCAACCTCTGCAAAACTTGCACGTAGAAATGGCCAGTAACAGTCTGTCCAGGCGGTACAAACTCATGGTGCACCAAACCGTCGATGTCAAAGAATGCAATGAGCATCACTTTGCCTTTGGATCCGATGAGGCATGATTTTTTGACCGGAGAGACGATGCTGTGTGCCACTCTGATGACTGCAGCTTCGTCTCCGGGTCATAGGCGAACACCAATTACTCATCACCATGAGAATATTTTCGAGAAACATCGGGTTCTGCGTACTTTTGTCAAACAGATCACCAGTGACCATCATGCGACATTCTATCTGATCTGTGGTCAGCTGCCTCCGACCAAACTTTGCACTGACGCGTCTCATCTTCACATCGTTGGACAAAATGGCATGAATGGATCCGTGAGAGATACCAACTTCTTGCTCCAACTCCGCGATGGTCATTCTTCGATCAGATCAAATAAGTTGTCGCACTTTTCCAATCATTCTTTCGGTTCTGAATGTCAAAGGTCTCCTGGTGCGCTGGTCATTCTCTAACATCTCCTGCCCATTCTTAAACCAGAAGAACCAGTCGTAAACTGTGGATTTCTTTAGTGCAGTATCACCGTAAACTTGCTGCAGGGCCGATTGCGTCTCTGAAGCAGATTTTCCCAATTAGCACATGAACTTGATGTTTGCGCGCTGTTCAAATTGTGACATTGCGCCGAATGACCAACACTCACGTCTAATTCAAATGGAACAGAAATGACACTGCACACTGAAACCTGTCCAGACCTGTTCCCCCTGCGAGCAGACATGCTGAGCTCCCCACCACAACAGTGTGCGCACTATCTTACCGCTCGTTCTCCGTCTGCAGGGGAATTTCGGGAACTTTTTGACTGCCCTACGTATTTCCAATTCCATCTATCCAGAGGGGCTAAAACGCCACTGGATGTGGAACAAGTCCCTTACATGCACAGTTTCAAAAACGACTGAAACCAGTCAACACAAATTTTCTTATATATGATTGGACAAATTATAAAAACATGCAAGATAGTCACAATATTTATGCACAAAATAGTACATTTAAAAACATAAAGCTGACATCTTACAATCAAAATAATAAAAATTTACCGTCATAAAATCAGCAATTTCAATACTTTAGATATATTCAAATTTCAAAATTCTTATTTATAACAATAGTATTCCTCCACAGTGTAGAAAGAGTTGGTGGTCAGGAAATCTGTTAATGCCTCTTTAAATTTAGGAATATACAGTGCGTACAATCAAGTGCGCGCCACGGCTGCAATTTGCCGTGAGTCATACCACCGCAGAACGGATGCAGTCGCGGGGAGGAGTTGCAACTCCTCCGCGCGCGCGGGAGTGCACGGCGCGCACTTGATTGTACGCACTGTAATATGATATCTGCTCTATTGAAAAGATACCTGACTCACTGTTTAGCAACCAGCAGTAGGACCAGTACCTAATAATTAATTTTCAGGGTTGAATGAGAAATGGCGAGTATTTCCATAATTCTGCTTTCAACATTTGAACTATAACCACCTCCAATATAGCAGATATGCTAATAGTTCAGTGCACTCACTTCAAATTAATTTGTGTAATCAGTCAGACCAAATGTTATATAGTAATGTTGCTAGTTAGCCTAAAAGCTAATTACCCAAAGTCACAATGTGATTTTCTTGTCTTTCCTGAGCTAACACTTTAAAATTATAAAAAGGCTAAGTCTGCTGCTTTCTCAAGTTGCCATTCATAATCATCCTGCTATTCCAGCCTATGCTGCTCATTTTAAAGGTATTGTCATATAAACAATAACGTAATTTCAGAACTGAAGGCATGTCTCTTTTTCTTAATTTATACACAGATTATATAACGCAGAATGGGAGGAATCAAGAATATGGATGAGCACTGACACACCCTACAGAGGTCCTTTCCTCAGGCTTCTTCTAGGGTTCTCCATTCCACCATGTGTTTAAGTTAGATTAGAAATCTCAACTATAAATATATATTTTGATGGGCTCTGTAATTATAAAACTGGTTCTGAGAATGGTCTGGTTTACAATCCATGTAGAAAGACTGACATTTTCAAGGGATTTACTATGTGAAAACCTAAATTCTGGAATAAATTTGGTACGTTCTTGGGCACAGTCGGTGTTATCACAGCGACAGGTGGACTTCCAAACTGGCACATTTCCTTATTTTTAATACAAAAGTTCTAACTACATATTAAATATTGGGGCTAAGTATGCACTATGGTGTCTATGCTGAAATTGGCCTTTATTTAGCTATTTAACCTAACCTTTCTCAAATTTTTTATTTTGAGGTTTAGTCTGTAAAAAACTTATAAATTATGCACCCCAACTGGTCTCTGTATTATAAATACACAATTTAACAGTTGCAGTTACGCACGATACAATATACTGGCATCACTCACCCCACTTCTCAAAGGCACCTGTAACTTTATTTGTGTATTCATCGTAATCATGTAATGCATATGGTACAAAGAGGATACATGAAACATTGTGCCTGCAAGGATGACAAAAGCACGAGGTATTAATATGGGTATAATGCATTATACTCGTATATCTAATAACACTGGTACTTGAGCACTGGGCTCTTGTAATTTCAGTTACCATGCGGTCAAATGCCACAACTTACTTTTCAAAAACTTACTTATGTCATCCGTTGCATAACCATACACTACAGGGGTAGACAAAAGTAATATACGCCTTTGTTGTGTATCCATGTGGCTCCTATACGTTAGACCTGCAAACCGTAAAGCTAACAGCTCATACCGTTGATACTAACCCGATTAGTTAACGCAATGTGTATAAAAAACAATCACATGATCGCTATCTTGCTAATCTGCACAGATAAATCAGAAATTTCAGCTTACTGCCGTTACATTTACTGAGCTGGTCTGCAGCAGTTATTAAGAATATGCATTCATACTTTGAAGTACGGATGCTTAAAAGAACTGCATTAATGTGATTCGGAACTTCTTGGATTTTGGTGATGAGGAATGATGCCATTCCTTGCTTGTTCTCTGTTTGTGGTTGGTGGCAGTGCACCCAAGTTTCATCACCAGTAGCGATTCTCAAAAGGAAGCCACCACCTTCTGCTTCAAGTCGCCGCAGAAGTTCTTTACAGGTGTCAACACATTGTTGTTTCAATTCTGGAGTCAGCTGCTGTGGCACCCAACTTGCAGACACTTTGTGAAACTGGAGCACATCGTGAATGACATGGTGTGCTGATCCGTGATTCATGTTAAGAATTTCGGCTATTTCATCCACCGACACTTGGCGATTCTCCATTGCTAGGGCTTCAACTGCTGCAACAGACTCAGGGGGCTCAGGGGCCTCAGGGGTCACAACGGTCACAACCGTCACAACTCTGTGCACCTGACCCGGGTGAGGAGCGTCTGCCACAGACGTCACACCATTTCTGAATTTCCTACTCCACTCGTACATTTGCTGCTGTGACAAGCATGCATCACCATACCGAACCTTCAAATGTCGATGAACTTCAATCGGTTTCACACCTTCACTGATCAAAAAACAAATTACAGAACGTTGTTCTTCTTTCGTGCACGTATTTATTCCAGCAGCCATCTTCAAACCTGCATTGTGATGGCTGAAACAACCAGTACGAGAGCAGCACGTGCTGGTTTACGAGAGAAAGTTCAGTGAGCGCGCGATATTTACGGGTTCGTGTTGCAGTCGTCGGGTTAATATATTTAGTGTAACTATGTGTATAACATATTATTTTCAGTGTTTGTTTTTTCATTCTTAATTTTCGCCACTCTTTTAAATTTGCTAATTACAATTATAAATTTTAACATATGAGATACGACACGTGTTTCAATAAAAGTAGGGTAGGGTTATAGCCAACTCTATGAGGGACCGTAATTGCGAGTGTCTGCAATATTTTTTTCCTGAATATGAGTAAATGTGAAATCTTTTCTTTTTCGTAATTGTGAGCGTCTGAGAATATTCACGTCACGTAAGGAAACTTTGAACTGAGGTTATGTTATCTCACTAATCATATTGCATATACATTTGCAAGTTGCAGCAGAAAGGATTAAGCATGCAAACTAAACTGGCATATTTTCTTAGAAATCGAGTTTATGCATATTTTCGAAGACGTATGAGTAGCTTTAATTACAACAGCTGTATAGATGTTTCACAAGAAGTATCCGAGGCATTAAGAAGCCACAGTCCTGTTGTTGCATTGGAGTCTACAATAATCAGTCATGGAATGCCTTATCCTGCCAACCTTCAGACTGCTTTACAAGTTGAGGAAGTTATTCGAAACCAGGTAAAAGGTTATAGGCAGACATTTGGGATTTGATGATCAATAATAAATTGCAGATATTGAACTCAACATTTATGAAAATTCTGTTTCTGAAATGCCAGTGAAATGGGCCAGCTTGAGAGTTGATAATGTATGTGTAAATTAAGGAAAAAAGAAAACCAGCTACACAGGGATGCGTGATTTTATATGCCCTGATAAAATTACATTTATTAAACATAAATATGTAAATGTGTTAAGTACAGAATTCAACTACAAGCAGTTCACGAAATGCACATATTTAAGTAGTTTCATGTGTCTGCCTCAGACAGGTTGAAAATTAAATAAGCTGTAATTTGTTAATGTTTGATATGATAAATGCAAACCACTCTGTCCAATGTGACATATAAGTTTTTACTACGTTACTACTACGTTTTACTACGTTAAAACTTATCTCCCTTACATGTTTCGGTCCTTATGGGCCATCTTCAGAGGGAACATCAGTACAAACTGGAAACTACCATCATAATAGGTGTTTTGATTTAAAATTCATACACTTATATCCAATAATGCACAGTATGCATAAAGTCGAACGTTTCACAATCACAGCAGCTTCCTGGTGTTGTAAAGTTTTTAAAAGTTTCTAGTTGTTATTTAAAAAACTTTATTGTCAATAGTTAAAATTCTTTAAACGACGTAGGTTCGTGTCTGTATTCCTATCGTCCTACTTGTATGGGGCAGATTTTGTGCCGCCGTCTATCTTGATGAGGAGGTTCTTGATGTCGTCCAGGGTTTGTTCGTGGCTTGCTGTGTTGTTTTCACTGTGAAACATGCAAGGGAGATAAGTTTTAACATAGTACAAACTTATATGTCACATTGGACGGAGTGGTTTGTATTTATAATTGTTAGTGCGAGGGACCAGAATGAAACAAATCAAAGTTTGATATGACTTTTTAAAATAAACACTGGGGCAATGCCCACATTAACAAGAAGTTCTAGAAAGAGCTAATTTCCTGCTTTCCATTGATACAGCAAGGACTGCATACAAACCCATACATTCACCACTTCTTTTTTTGTGTGTGCATTTGATGCTCTGGGAACGTGTTTATCAAGCCATTGCTGATCAACAGGTTTTCCTATCAGCTGAGCTGTTGCCTAGCAATGATAGGGGTCGTACACATACAGACATGCAGGGAAAGTAGGCTAACAACAGAGGAACTGTTAGAGGCTGCTGTCCAACCCAAAGTTTTTTATAAGGAGCAAAAGTCTTTGTTTGGAACCAAAACCTGTGTGGAGGTGGGGTTGAATACTCCCATTGTAGCCCAGCAACTTGTAGGAGGTAACAAAAAAAGGGAACCCAGTGCCTGGGGTTATAACTGGGCCATATAAATATGGGGACCTGGCCTCCAGGCTTGTGGAGTCTTTAATCTCAGACAGTAAAAGGTGGTCATGAGTCCCATGGAACTTCGACCTGAGAATGAATGTGCTGGTGAGGACCAGCAGCAATTTTAAACAACATACCCATCCTCTCATTAGAGAGAGTGTTATGTAAGGGCTATAACGGCAACTGTTCAGTTGGAAAATAAAATTACTGGTCATGACTCTCAAGGGGCTTTTCGCCAAGACAAGCTGATTGGCAGTAAACCACCAGTCTCTGTCTCTGACTCTGATTTGGAACCAAGAATGGCTGTACTGGTGAGGTTCAGTGGTAATTCACCATACCCAACCCAGAAGGCACAATAGACCACTGTGATCGCGGTGCAAGGGCCAAGAAGGCCCACCCCTTATACATTCATTCACATTCATACCCAACCCAGAAATCAGGGGAACATATACTGAAAATTTGGTGATCTTATAAACTTTCTTTTATTTTTTCAAAATAGGGAAAGAAGCTAAAAAATCACTTGTGTGCCACCCTGTACTGCCCTGGTTTCAAGGTTGCACTGAAGTTATTTTTTTCTCATGGGGTGAGACTGGGACCACTTGACACTGCAGTCACTGTTTGGCCTATTGTGCCAGCCCCATATGATGGTGATGATTGCGAATTGGCTGGGGAAACCAAAGTACTTGGAGAAAACCTGCCACAATGCTACTTTGTCCACCACAAATCCCAGATGACCTGACCCGGGCTTGAACCTTGGCCACTGGTGGTAAACCAGTGACTAACCACCTGTATGGCCTGCACTGAAGTTAACTTGCCTAACATCAGAAATGGTTAGACAGTTGCTTTTTTGCAAGAATAATTTTAACTGTGAGGGTGAACTCCTAGTGTCCAGAATTAGGTTGTGTGTAAGTGGATAAAATTTTGGGGAGGCCATGTTCTTTCTGGGTCATTTTTCAGCTTAATATTGTTATTGCTGGGACTGTAATTCCTTTAACACACCATGGCCCAGAGCAGTATTCACTATGTTGTCTGAAGCTTTTAGATTTCTACTCCTTCCAGTTGCTAGTACAATTTTATGTTGATATCTCTCAAGATGCAAGAGTGGGCTGTAGTCTACCTGCCACATTATCTCTGTATTTCCTTCTTTCCTGGAACTTTTTGAAGCTACAATGTATGATCAAGTCAACGAGGATGAGATGGGCAGGGCATTGGATATTGGTGGGAAAGCCAGAAGGAAACAGACCACTGGAAGACCAAGAGGTAGGTGGGTGGACGATATTAAAATGGATCTTAGAGAGATAGGATGGGTTGGTATGGATTGGATTGATCTGGCTCAGGATAGGGACCAGTGGAGGGCTCTTGTGAAGACAGTAATGAACTTTCAGGTTCCATAAAATGCTGGTGAATTCTTGAGTAGGTGCATAATTGTCAGCTTCTCAAGAAGGGCTCAGCTACATGAATGAGTGACCATGTATGAGGTTTGATGTCATTCTGCAGACAAGACCTTGTATGATGAGTTGTGGTTACATTCTTCTGCATGTAGCTTGTTTGTCATGCCATATGCACTACCCCACGTCATACCTGTTTTCTAGGTTAAGTTTCTAATAGAATTTTCTTGGAGTTTCTATGTCCAAGGTCTTACTGTAAAATTGTTGATGTATTGTCATGTAAGAGTGAACGACTAACTGTTAAGATTTTGCTCCTTCTTTCTAGAATCAGTACTGCTCTTTATATCTGCTAATTGATTTTCGTGTCTGATTGAGAGTTTGTGTGTATTTTTCATTGGCTACATGAAACATTCTTGCAAGCTGCATGGGGCTTCTCACTTAGTACACTTTTCCAGAACAGCACTGAAGGATCATTTTATCTGTCCTTAGGGTGCTGTACCAGCAACAATAGCAGTTATCAAAGGTCGCGTCAAAGTTGGCTTGGACCAGGAAATGTTGTCAGAGTTTGCCAGTTTGAAGACGCCAGCTGTTAAAACATCAAGAAGAGATTTTCCTTATGTACTTAGCAAGGTAATTTAATAATTTTATCACTTTCTCACTCATTCATGGATCTGAGCCCTTCTTGAGAAGCTGCCAGTTGTGCAGCTACTCAAAAACTTCCCAGTATTTTATAGAACCTGTAGGTTCATTACCATGTTCACAAGAGCCCTCCACTGGTCCCTATCCTGAGCCATATCAATTCAATCCATACTTTCCATAACTCACTCACTCACTCACTCACTCGCTTGTGAGAAGCAGCCAAGTGTGCAGCTACTGAAAAACTTCCCAGAATTTTATGGAGCCTGAAGGTTCATTACCGTGTTCACAAGAGCCCTCCACTGGTCCCTATCCTGAGCCAGATCATTCCATACGATCATTTTTGCAGTCACTCTTAAACAAACATATAAATATTACCATATTGTAATTGGGACAGGATGGCACATTGGTGCTTTTTGTATTGCTGGGGTATCACTTTGACACTTCTTTTAATTAAAGGTATTTTATTAGAACCATGAACACAACAATTGATTGATTATAACACAAATATTATGGTGTTAATACTCAGTTTTATTTTCTACACCCGCTATGTATTTTGATCTGCAGAGATTGTCATCAGGTGGTCCTTGAATACAAATCTGTTGTCACCGAATTCTCAGGTGAAATAGATCCATTTTTTGCATTTAATTTTGATCAATAAAAGCAAAAGTATTCAGGAAGAAGATATGCTGTATTTGAAAGGTTAAAATCAAGTAGCTTTAGAAATTTAAATACAGTATCTGTTTTGTAATCTGTCAGTTGTGTTAATGGCTTCTAAAAATACCTTTAATAACAGGATACAGAAAAGTAAAGTGAAATGAAATAAAATAAAATAAAGAGACTTCTTTTAGTGCCACGTATTATTTTTTTTATTGCTAGTGGGGTGGGACTAAGCCCCTTGTACTGCGGCCAC